TTTGAGAAACGATGTACAAATGCGCTTTACACAATTGATGTGTGTATGGATTGGGATAACAGTTGTATGAGCCCCTAATAAAATGTTTAAAAAAAAACATTTTCCTTCTACTTGAGCCCTTGGTATCAGCTCCTCATTTTTCCCCTCCCTCCCTCACCCTTGATCATTTATAAACTTTATTTTTTAAGCTGGGACTTTGGCATTCACAAAGGGAGAAACAGACAGGATGGGTGGGGCTCACCTAGCTTCTGGAGCTTGCCACCCCCTCCGAAGCCTAGGGGAGAGAGGGGAGGAGGGGAGGGGCCGCAGCTCTGAGGCCACCCCCAGCAGCTCTCGTCCAGGTTTCCACCCTTGTCTGGCCCTTACCTGGTCCAAAGCCATTGGGAGCTGCCAGGCCTGTTTGAGGGGGGATAGGGGAAGATTAGAGGCACTGACCAGGTCTCAGGCAATGAGGCTGAGAGCTGGCTGGCCCCTGACTCCGGAATGCTGCCCTGTAGACCCCTGCCCACCCCAGCCCCTTCCTTCCACTAGAGTTGGCTGAACCTTAACAGGGACACTGTGGGCTTGCCCCCCTCCCCCCTTCCTGCCACACACACACACACACACACACACACACACACACACACACACACACACACACACTGAGGGAGGAAGAAGCCTATGCACCAGAGAGACTGTCTCCACCCCCCATCCGAACCACACAGCCTCTCAGTGCCCACCCTGTCCCTCCCCACCCCCAGCTCTCCCACTCCCTCTGATGTCCAAATGTTCATTCTGACTCAAAGCCACCCTGGATGACAGTGGAACTGCCCCACAGGGAGGGGCACTTTGGCTCCTGTCTGGATGAGGGCTCAGCAGGTCACCAGGACTCCCCCCCCCCCTGCAGTTGCTGCTGGGGGTTTGGAACTGCCCACCTTTCAGGGTCAGTGCTTCCCTTAACCATGGTGCCCTTGGGGATGTAACTCAGGTGCCTCCTCTTGACCCACCATTCATGCCCCCACTGAGGGCCCGAGAGAAGAGGCCCTGTCCTTGGAGATAGGGCTTCGAACCCCACAAACCCCAAGGGTGTGTGGCCCACAGCGTATGTAACACCCCAGGCAGACCCTGCCCTTGTCTGGCCTGCCCCACGCTTTCATGGTGTGAGTGTGTGTGTGTGTGTGTGTGTGTGTGTGTGTGTGTCCACCTGCTTGGTGCAGCATGGACCGGCTCAGGGCTCAGGCAGGAAGATGAGGCAGTTTGGCTTGGCAGGTGGCATTTTTGGAAGCCCTCGGGAGCAGTTCTACTCTGTCCTATGGGTTCACTCTGAGTCTGAACCTGTTGGCAGAGTCTGGTTTGTGTTTTGGGGGGGTGGGACAAGGACAGAAGTGGGCTGCTGGGTGTCATGCCCCCTCCCACCAGACCTGGAAAGAGACTGAGCCTGCCTCTCCCTTATCCCTTAGAGCCCCATCTGGCCCAGATGCCCTCACCTGGCTGGGTGCCATCTCCGTTGCCAAAGCCTGGGGAGATGAGGCAGGAAGAGGTAAGGGGCGGGGTAGCCATCAAGGGGACAGGGACAAAAGGACTGGGCGGGGCTCACCTGCCTTCTGAGGCTTCATGCTTCTTCCCATACCTGAGAATGAGATGGGGAGATGGGAGCAGGTGAGGGTGGGGGTGGGCAGGGGCACCTATCTCTGGACGCTGAACCCAAGCTTATTCCCCAGCTGCCACCCAGGCCTGCTAGTCCGCGGCTCTGGAGGGAGGGGTGCAGAAGCTGCGGCGGGGTCAGACTCGGTGGGCCAGCCTCCCTGAGGGGCTCCCCACCCTCAGAACCCCATGCACCAGCAGGACAGAGCTCTCAAGAGCAGGCCCAGGCTGGACCCCAGCAGAGTCGTTAGGGGCCTGTTCCTGGGGGGCAGGGAGCAGGGAGACAGGGTGAGGCGGTCCCTGGCTCCCATGACTTCTGGGGTCCCACTGCCCCTCCCAAAGGTGGACGCTGATCCCAGCCAGCCCCGCTTCCTAAGAATGGGGTCAGGACCCTGATCATGCTTGCTTTGCTCCCTCTCACCTGTCAGGGCTCCTGCTCCCAGACCGGTACTGCTCCTGGATGCTGGGGAGACAGAGAAGGGCCTCAGCCATGGGGTGAGCAGGCTGGGGGAACGAGTGGTAGGGAGCCTGGCTAGAAATGGGCAGGGCCAGGGCCAAGGTGGGCAGGCTGAGTTCTCTGCTCACTGACTACTGAGGTCTCACCAGCCACCTCCCAGGCCTGTGGGGAGAGACACACAGAAGCTGGATGCCCCGACCTTCTCCATAGGACCCACTCTCCCTTCCTGGTTCCCTGAGCCTCAAAGTCCTGCCCCAAATGTATGTACCTGGGTGGGCTCCTGCCTTGGGGAAGGAAGGTCCCCAGCACCCAGCCCAGGCCCTTGCCAGGGAAGCAAGGACAGGCACAGGGCAGGAGCTTCCAGCTGAGACAGACAGATGGAGAGGGGCCAGGCAGGGGGCAGGTATGGGGTGAGACTCACCTGGTTTCTGGGCCTCCACACCCCCTCCAAAACCTGGGAGAGAGAAGGGCAGGTGAGGGGGCTCCAGAGCCCCGCCCACACAAGCTCTTTGCTTTCTGGCCATTCTGAGGGTGGGGGTGAGGATGGTTGGGGTCCCAGCTGAGGTGGAGGTGAAGTAGCGGGGTTCCAAGTTCCCCTGTCAGGCTCGGGGACAGGCACACTCTCACATGAGCACCTGGACACATGGGTCTCCAATACAGACCCATCACCCCGCCCCCCTCCCGCCCGCCGCCCCCCCGACCAGGGTGTAAGAGCCCCTCCCTCTGCCCATCCCCACAGCACTTCACCAGGCTAGACAACCACACCTGGGAAGGCCCAGATCCCAGCCTGTTCCAGAAGCCTGGGGAAACAGAGCAGGGTTGGGGAGGGGGGTGCCAGATGGGAATGGGGGGGCGTAGTACACTGAGAAGGAGAGGAGCAGACAGGGGGTGGGTAGGGGAAAGCTGCTTACCTGGCTTTTGGGGTTTCAGACCTCCTCCAGTACCTGAGAAAGATAGGGAGCAGGCAAATGGGGGGGGAATCTCAGGGCTGCTCCCCAGCCCCTCCACGACACACTCGCACATGCACATACACACTCACACACACACATGCGCACACAAACACGCATACACGCTCACACACACATGCTCACACACTTGCACATCCATACAAACATGCATGCACATGCTCACATGCACACGCTCTCACACCAGCACACACACACACACACACACACACACAGGTCCTGCCTGTACCTGCTCTGAAGCCATTCTGAGCTGGGAAGCCTGTGGGGAGAAGGAGGAGTGAGCAGGAAGTTTGGGGACTCCGTTGAAGTGAGTTTGCACGTCTCTTGGCCCCACCTCTCATCTCTCAGGTGGGCTTCCTGCTGCCCCTCTCCCCAACCCTGTCCCCCACATCCCCACCCTGCCATGGGGCCTGGGAGGAGGGAGAGAAGCCACCCTGCACACAGAGGCCCTTTGGGGCCATCCCTTTGATCAGGCTGTGTTCCCAGCTGGGGGTTGAATCCTGGGGAGATGGGGGCAGAAGGGGGTCAGAGAAAGTGTGGCAGAGAGAGAGAAGGGGGCCAGGGCAGGGCTCACCCCGCTTCTGAGCTTGAATGCCCCCTCCCACACCTTCGAGAGACACAGGAGATGAGGGACCCTGTGCCCCCTTCCTGGCCCAGACCCATGCAGAGCCTTGGGGATTCTGGGGCTTTCAGCTCGTCACCCCACCCCCTGCATGTGGCCGCTCCCACGTGGGGTCGGAAAGACTTGGGAAGATCACCTGGGGAAGATGACTGACAGAACTCACTCAGTGGGCAGGATGGGGGAGGGGAGGAAGGGCCATGCAGCCGGCACCTAGGGGCTGGGACCTGGGCTGCAGGTGGGCCCTCCACTTGGGTAGGTGAGAGTGCTCCAAGCAGGGTTCCCTGCTCATCTCTAAGATGACTGCCTCCCTCCCACCTCCCAAGGCTGCCCTGGGCCCCCCAACCCCTCATCCTTCTAGGAGAACCACAGGGGATCCCTGCTCCTCCCAAGCCCTGCCCCTCCCACTCCCTCTTTCCAGGGACTCCTCTTACCTGCTCCCAGGCCATTGGGGGTACTGTAGCCTGTGTGTGTGTGAGGGGTGTGAGAAACTGAGGTTGGGTGACAGGCGTGTCCCCAGTTGGGAGGTGCCTGTCCCCTCACCCAGTTTACCTGGTCCGTAGCCATTTGGGTACCCCGAGCCTGTGGGATGGGGGGAGGGGCAGACTCAGTGGGGGCACAGAGAGCTTCTCTGGACCGCAGGACAGGAGTGGTGCCCCCTCAGGGCTGAAGGGGATGGCAGCCGGAGGACAGGGGCAGCTGAGACAGGGGCCTTGGATCTGGAGGGCAGTCTTCACCCAGAAGTCTCATCCTCCTGTCCCCTCACCCCCAACCCTTCTCTTCTTCAGCTTAGATCGGGGCTCAGGGGGACTCCCGCCGCCCACTTGGGGACCCACAGGTCTCTGGAGTTAAAGACCCCAAATGACAATCAGCATCGAATTCTCGAAGCCCGCCATGTCACCTCCCCTAGGGAGGGCTCCCCGTGGTCCCCACACTGCACTGACAGAGAGGGACAGGTGCTCTCTGAGGCCCACACCAGGCATCTGGAGCTGTGGACATTGGGCTGTCCTTGACAGGCATCCTGCACTCCTGTCCTTGCCTAGAGTGGAGCCCGATGTGGGCAAAGCCATACCCCAGGACCCAGGGTGGACTTACCTTTCCCCAGGGCGGCAGCTGAGCGGGGCAGCCCTAGGGAAGTAAGGGTATTCTGAGTCACTGAGGGGCCAAAGAGCCCAGAGACTGAGTCATTAGCCCCCAAGACCCAGAACCACCCTTCTGTGCTGCTCAGACTTCCCCCTCACCCTCTCCCTGGACCCCCGCTTGCCGCCCCCGCACCTCCTTGCAGGCTCTGGGCAGCCAGGTGGAGCACGAGCAGAGCCACGGAGAAGGCGCGGCGACTACCCATGGCGAAGGGGTGGGACAGCTCTGCGCTCCTGTCCCTTTAAAGAGCCCAGAGGGTGGGGTCCTGACTCAGACCCCCGCTGGGAGTAGCAGAGGCTCTGTCTGCAGACCCCAGTGTCCACCCCTCCCCTGGACACCAGTCCCAGCCCCACCTGGCCTCGGACAGGCGCTGGCAGCCAGGACAGTCCCCTGCCCAGCCCCCAGGGCGCCTCCGCGCTGTCAACACCTTGATGCTGGCGCCGCTCTGGAGGGCTCAAGTGTTCCCCCCAGCAGCTGGTGAGGGGAGCTGGCATCCCAGCCCAGCCCAAACGCAGCTGGGGAGAGGGTAGCAGCCAGGACCAGTGGGTTGGGGGACATGCCAGGAGCCAGGCAGAGTTACAGTGTTGCCCAGAGAGCCTGTGAAGGGGCAGACGGCCGCGGAATGATACAGAAGGTGGGGCGCGTGGTTACAGTATATCCATCAGCCGCCTTAGGATTCCAGCTATTCCTCAAGCCCCAACAGGCCGCACAGCAAACAGGCTCCCTGGGCCTCCAGCCCTGAGCCCCACACCCTCAGCGTCCCATGGGCGGGGCAGGGGCATACACACAGGGACTATCACCCACCTCAGCCTGTCCTCACCAATTCTCCACCATCTACCCCACTCCAGGCAGCCTACGGGGGTCTGAGTCTGGGGGGTGAGGCCTTATGGGCTCAGGCCTGTCTGAACTGACTGGGGAGGAGACCCAGGTGTCTAGGAGCCATGGCCAGTCCCCCGGGGGTCTTGAGGGGTTGTTGGGCAGGAGAGGTAAGCCTGGGGAGTTTGGGGAGCTGGGCTGGAGCCCTGCTGTCACATTCTGGAGCCTGGGGACCCCACTGAGCTGGCTGGGGTGGCAGTGACTCAGCCCCCCAGTGCTGGATTCAAGTGGGCCCACACCCAGTCTGTCTGCTGGCCTGCCCCCTGCCAGTCAGCCCCTCCCAGCTCCTCTGGCTGAAAGCCTAGCCTGCCTAGCCAGGCAGCCAGGCAGGGTAGGGGCTTGGATGGAGCAGGGCCTATAGGGCAGTCTGTGAGCCCACCACCCTACAGGCCCACCGCCTACAGGCCCCCTGAGACACCCCTCAACCTCCAGCACCAGGAGAGAACTGTGCCTCCACCTGTGGCTGCTCCCTCTCCCTTCCATTCAGGGCACACACATCCACACACCTGGGGTGCTCATCTCCCGCCACCGCCACCCTCCAACCCAGCTTTGCACAAGACATCTCAGTCCAGCTCTAGGATGGACCCCCAGGTACCCACCTGGCAGCTCTGTCCCACCTTGACCTGGCTCTGGGGACCTCTTGTCCCAACTACCCCATGGGAGAGCCTGGTCCCTGTGGAGTAAGGCTGGGTGGCCTAGAGGTTAGCAGGACAGGCGCTGGGCTCAGGGAAGCTCCTGTCCCCTCTGTGCCACCACTTCTGGCTGAGGACACTGGAACCTTCTCTAAGGTGAGGGGGACAACCCTGGAGGCTGGGCCATCGGTTTCAGCTCCCCGTCCACCCCCTTCCCCGAAACACGTGTAACTCTCCTTACTGCAAGCTTCGCCGTAAAGTGAGGATTGCAATGAGGAGAGTCGGGTGTACTTTGGGGTTTTCCAGGGCATAGACACATGTGCGTCAAACCCCACCATCTACTCCGAAGGAAAAAGATGAGGCCGTCTGCTCCCCTAAAGATCGACAGCCTCAGAAACCCACAGGGGGCAGTTCTAGTGGTCACTATGAGTCGGAACTGACTAGTCTGGCCATGCGTTTTCTTTTGGTTTTCAAGAAAAGCAATGCTTATCTAGTTCCATCATCGTTTTTTGTTTGGTTTTGTTTTTACTTCTTCCTTACCAAATCGGATGTCCTTTATTTACTTTATTGTGATTATTAATGTTTTCATTGGCATAACATTCACACATTGTACAATTCAGTAGCTCGGTCACAGCAAGAAGAGTTGTACAATCACCACAATCAATTTTCAGACATCTTCTTCGTTCTTTTTTTTAAATCATTTTATTGGGGGCTCGTACAATTCTTATCACAATTTGCTTTGTTCTTATACTCAACATCATTAGCTTTTATACCATCCTGAGTACCCTCCTGTCATTGAAGCGAGACAGGTACTGTACAGTAACACCAGTGACCTTGCATGGATTCCGGCGCACAGACTGTACAGTAACACCAGTGACCTTGCATGGATTCCGGCGCACAGACCCTCTGGGCAGGGTTTCCCAAGCTGTCTATCTTCACGGGAGCAAAAGCCTCATCTTCCCACCAAGGAGCAGCACTGGTGGGTTTGATCCTCCAACCTGATAGTTGGGCCAGTGCCTAACCCAAAGCACCACCAGGGTTCCTACGTGTGCAAGAGCATGATGAAGCAAGTTTGGCATTCTGCGAGGACCACCAAATGGAACACAGAGACAGGAACTGAGTACCCAGCCCCAGCCCCCCTGCTGTGGAGACCAGGGGGACACACAGCAGCCCTGACCCTCCAGGACGGAGAACTGCTCCCGTAGGCTTCTTTAAAGGAGCACTGGTGGCATCGTGGTTACATAGCGGGCTGCTACCACAAGGTCAGCAGTTTGAAATTATCAGCTGGCTCTGTAGGATAAAGAGGAGGCTTCCTACTTACTCCCTTACAGGGGTCCTCGAATTGTGGCCCACAGGCCACATGCGGCCTGCCGAGGACAGTTATCCGGCCAGCCGGGTGTTTTTGCCCCGTTTTGTTATTTACTTCAAAATAAGATATGTGCAGTGTGCATAGGAATTTGTTTGTAGTTTTTTTTTAAACTATAGTCCGCCCTCCAACGGGTCTGAAGGACAGTGAACTGGCCCCCTGTTTAAAAAGTTTGAGGACCCCAAGGAACTATATGTGACCGCCTCCCTGGGGGACAGACAACCGAAAAGTTGGGTGAAGGGAGACGTCGGACAGGGCAAGATATGACAAAATACCCATTTATAAACTATCAAGGGCTCATGAAGGAGGGGGGATCGGGGAGGGAGGGGGAAAATGAGGACCTAATGCTGGGGGTTTGGGTGGAGAGGAAATGGTTTGAGAATGATGTACAAATGTGCTTTACACAATTGATGTGTGTATGGATTGCGATAACAGTTGTATGAGCCCCTAATAAAATGATTTAAAAAAAAAAAGTGAAATAGGTAAAACAAACCAAAAAAAAGTTTGAGGACGCCTGCTTTAAAGAGTTACAGTTGTGGGAAGTTCACAGGGACAGTTCCAGCCGGTCCTATTGGGTCGCTATGAGTCAAAATGGACACCACGTCAGGGAGCTCATTTTGCTTTTGTGCCATGACATGCGGTGTCTGTTCAGTGCACTGAGCTGAACTGCAATAAAAGGAGGAATGGCAGAGATGCCAGGGTGAGGCGCTTTGGATCCCCGTTTACAGAAAGGGAAACAGAGGCACAGAGAAGGGGAGTGACATGGCCTCTTAAAGCTAGAATTTAACCCAGGGAGTCTGAGGGATGCCACACTGTTGACTCTCTGCTCTGTTCTACAAGTGTTTGCTGGGCTGGCAGCAGCCAAGGGGCCCGAGAGACGGGATCCCTGACTGCCCGCCCCACCCGCCTGGGCCTGGAGGTGTCTCTTCCAGACCTTGGATGGCCAGGGGCCCCCTATGCCAACCCAGAAATATAGTCATACTCAACTCAGCCTGCAGGGCGCCAGGGAAGCTTGGCCCGGGAGGTGGTGGCAGGAGACCAGGAGGGGCCAGCTGGGAGGTATAGGCTGGGTGCCCACTTGGCCGCCACCACAGGGAATGCTGGTACCCACTGTCACCACCTGGGTGTAGAGTGCTGGTATGGCCAATGGGAAACGGCAGCCAGCTCAGGGCCCCTGGCCAGATACAGATTGCTCAGGACCAGGGCTGGACTGGTGCCCTGGCCTCTGCAAGGACACCCCTCCCACCCCCCACATGGCTGTCCCCTCCATGCCAAAGAGGGAGGCAGGGTCGGCTGAGGGCACACAGACTGCCCAGGGCTGGGAGAGCCCATGCTACAGTCCTGGCCTGAGCCATGCCTTGCTCCCAGGTGTCCCCTCCTTACAGAGAGGCCATGTGGAGGGGTCAGGGTCAGGGGGCCCAGCACAAGGTGATAGCAGGGGTCTTGGAGGTACAAGGGTGCAGGTATGTGTGCTGCGTGCTGCCTAAAATGGCCCTGCCTGTGACCAGGGCAGAGGTTCCAGCTGGCTGCTTGACACCTGTGAAGCTGGAGGGGTGGCCAGGTGCCCACTGAGCTGGAGGCTCCTCACTAAGGGTTTGGGGGCCTCTGAACCCCGGTCCTGGTGCCACCTGTTCTAGAATGCCTTGCCGGGCACCCCCAGGCCCGCTCACTTGTTCACTTGATTTTCCTGCTTACCAGCCTGTGAAACCTTATGGAATTGTGACTCTTGGCCTGCCTCCAGGACTGTGATTCCGATGCAAATGTCCAGTACGGCAGACACCCCCAAAGCCAGCACCCCATGACTCTGGTCCCTAGGTGGGCACCCGTACCCCAACACCCTCTCTCCCTATTGGGTCACTGCGTTCCCGCTTGGCGTCATTGCCTTGTCTTTCTTAAGTTATGGTTCTCAGTGTGTAACTTCCTCATTTACCTAGAGTGTAAGCAGCTTCCCCAAGTGGCTGTGCCCTCAGATACTCAGCCAGAGAGCTCCGCGTGCTGTTTCAGCGACAGGACACACGGGGGCGCTCGCCGACTCGTCGCTCGGCTTCTGGGTTCTGTCCCCAGGAGAGTGAGTCCCTGGAGAACCTGTCCGGATTGCGGTGGAGGGGCTTCCTCTAGGACCATGCTAGGCGCTTTGGCGAAGAACCTTATAGGCCTAGGGTAGGGGTGGTGGTGCCACAGCTCCCTCCTTCAGCGCCTTTGAAAACACTACACAAATAAGGGGAATTACTGTAATATTGGTGGGGGTGTGGCGAGGCGCTGATGGCACAGTGGGGTATGCATTGGGCTGCTAACTGCAAGGTCAGCGGTTTGAAAGCGCCAGCCGCTCCATGGGAGAAAGATGAGGCTTTCTACTCCAGTAAAGAGTTACAGTCTCTGAAACCCACAGGGGCAGTTTTACCCTGTCCTAGAGGCTTGCTATGAGGCTATGAGTGGGAATAGACTTGATGGTGGTGAGTTTGCTTGGTTGGTTTGATACTATTATTATTATAGGAGTCCTAGTGGTGTAGGGGGTTAAGCATTGGGCTGCGATCCACAAGGTCAGCAGTTCGAACCTATCAACTGCTCTGTGGGAGGAAAAAAGATGTGTCTTTCTGCCCTCAGGACAATTCACCATCTCAGAAAGTCTAAGGAACAGTTCTACTCTGTCCTGTGGGGTGGCAGGGAGCCCTGGTGGCATAGTGGGTTATGTGGTAGACTGCTAACTACAAGGTCAGCAGTTTGAAACCACCAGGTGATTCACAGGAGAAGAATGAGGCTTTCTACTCCTGAACGAGCAGTTCTACCCTGCCCTCTAGGTTCATGGTGACTCAGAATTGACTTGACTGCTGTGAGTTTCTCTGAGTCGGAATCTACTGGATGGCCCTGGGTGTGGTTTTGGTTTTACTGCAATTAAACAAGGAGTAAACCCCCACTGCGGAGAACAACAGGGGGTCTACTCCTGTAAAGAGTGACAGTCTTGGAAACCCACAGGGGCAGTTCTACCCGGTCCTGTAGTATCCCTATGAGTCAGCACTGATTCCATGACAGAGGGGGAAACCCCTACTATGTGCCATCTCGTATCAAGTACTTTCTCTCTCTCTTTTTGTACTTTCTCATTTAAGGCTCACAACTGAAGAGGGGGGAGGGATTGTTATGCCCATTTAAAAAATGTGGAAATGGGCTCAGAGACATGAAGCAACTTGCCCAAGATCACACAGCTCTAAGTAGCAGAGCAGGGTGGGAGTCCCCCAGGTCTGGGACCCAACAGCCCACCTCCTTCACCTGTTAAATCTTGTCTTATAACCCTTCCCGGAGTGGGCACCTTTCCATGGGAAGCCTATTTTGGAATTCAAAAAGAACTATTTTTGTTTTTTAAATCGCTGTGAATTGGTCTCCCAAGAATAGGCAGCTGGCCTGAGTCCTGGGCTCCTGGGACTGTGGTTGCAGAGGTGGCCCTGCACAGCAGGCCTTCTGGGGACAAGTCTGGTGGCTCCAACCAGGGACCAGCCTGAGTCACAGGGGTTGTGGCTGCCAGATATGCTAATACAATGGTTGTGTGTATGTGTGTGTACGTTTCAACCTGGCCATTGGGTTTAACCCAGCCGGCCTTCCCCCAGTACTGGTCCATGCCTGAGGATGCAAGCACTGGATGGGCCAGGAGCCCAGCAGATTGTTTTGGGGAACGGCAGTTTCAACGGAGACAGCAGGAATCTAGAGGAAAATAGCTCATTTGTTCTTGTTGGGGCAAATCACTTACCTTCACAAACTCAATTCACTGCCACAGAACCAATTCTGACCCACAGCAACTTTACAGGACAGAGCACAACTGCCCCTGTGGGTTTCCGAGGTGGTAACTCTTTACAAGATTAGAAAACCCCGTTTTTTACCCACAGAGCCACTAGTAGTTTTGATCTGCAGACCTTGCAGTTAGCAGCCCATTTCTTAACCACTATGCCACCAGGGCTCCTTGTAAAATATATGGAATGCTTCAGGAATTTGCTTGTCATCCTTGTGCAGCATACACAGTGCTGTCCTTGACAGCACCTACACTGAGATTGGAACGACACCTTCTCTAGGCCTTTCTTTTCCCAACTGTGAAATGGGGGCAAAGAAGCACCCATTGGGTTGGTGGGGATCAGCTAATACCTATAAATACAAATGGCTTCAAGGAAATAGAATGGGATTTTTTTTCCCATTAAGTTTTTTGAAGCCTCTGCCCCATACCAGGAAAATAAAATGATTTTCATGAACATATGAGGATGTCAAAAAGTACTGCTAAAAAAGAAAAAAAATCACAAAAACCTTAAAAGTATCAAAACATGCAGCTATTTTCTCTCTATGCATCCTTCCCCTAAGACCGGACATGCTGAAGTTGGTGTTTGCAACACTCTAGCCCCTCTCCAAAATACTCTGTGCTCTTTATTTGCACCCGATAAGAATGGCAGTTTGGGCATCATCTTCATCTTCCTTTTCAATGTTGTCTGCGTTTGGGAAACAAAAAGGAGTCAGAAAGGGCCAGATCAGGCCTCTAGGGTGGATTAAACCTTGTCTTATAACCCTTCCCTGAGCGGGCACCTGTTCATGGGAAGCCTGCTTTAGAATTCAAAAAGAACTATTTTGATTTTTAAATCGCTGTGAATTGGTCTCCCAAGAATAGGCAGCTGGCCTGAGTCCAGGGCTCCTGGGGCTGTGGCTGCAGAGGTGGCCCTGCACAGCTGGAGATGGATCTACTTTGCTTGGCAGGAGGTTTCCCAATGCAATCATCATTAGTACTTTAAACAGTTTTATTGGGAAGATAATCCACATATCATACAACAGTTCAGTCACATCAAGAATCATACAATAAAGAGAACTGTATGAGCATCGCCACGATTTCAGAACATTTTCTTCTTTCTTGTACTCCTAGTTATTAACTCCCCAACCCCCCCTCCAACCTCCCCTTGTCATACCCCCCAAAAACCATTAATACATTACACTTTCTATAGACTCACCCATCCCGGATTTCGTATATCAAAAGGCACACACAAACCCAAACCAAAGAACCAAAAAAAAAGAAAGTCTAACAACAATAACAAAATAAAGAAAAACCTAGAGTATTAAAAACTAGAAGGTTGAAATGGGTCAGAAGGGAGATCCAGACCCGGTGAGGGGGGGGGGGGCGCCGAGCCCCGAGGGGCTCTCGCTGGCGCCAAGCGCAACCCTCTCCTGGGACAGTGCCAGGTGGGGAGTTTGACTGGGGTGGTACACCTGTCAAACGGTAACGCAGGTGTCCTAAGGCGAGCTCAGGGAGGACAGAAACCTCCCGTGGAGCAGAAGGGCAAAAGCTCGCTTGATCTTGATTTTCAGTACGAATACAGACCGTGAAAGCGGGGCCTCATAAAAAAAAAAAAGAATTAAAAAAAAAAAAAGAAGAAGGGAGATCCAGTGATAAGGTGTTAGATTTGAACCTAACTCCATCTGCCCTAATCCACTTCCCAGGACACTAATAAGGCTGTTCACATCCCTGGTCTATGTTCAGAGGGGATCCACCTGTACTTTCTTCTTCATTATTTTTGTTTTGTTGTTTTGTAAACTGATAGAACTTTTAAATGGATGGAAAGGAGGCTAACCCAATTCTTGTATTACAGCCTGGCTGCCCTTGGAGACTGATTGAGGGGGTGAACTCCTCACTGACCCTTTTCTCACAACGCAACTTTCCATTTCCTTAAAACTCGTCTCCATTAGCCCATGTGGTTGTCCAGTGTCCTTTGAGAAGGCCGATTAAGATGACCCTTTGGAATCCCCACAAACGGTCGCCATAATCTTCTGGGCTGTTCTCTCTGCCTGGCATGGAACTGACTCAGCAGGTGCGCTTGGAAGCCACTGCTTTGGTCTAACCTTTTGGCATTCAGACCCTCAAGGGGCCCTGAGGACATGCTAAGCCCTTTAAGGGGATCATCCCATCCGAAGCTCCAGCTTTCTGGAGGCGGGGAAATTAGGGGGAAGGGAGGCTGGTCTGGTCCTTAACTTCCTTTACACCAGCGACTAGACTAATCCGCCGGTTAGCAAACCCTTCTACCCGCCATGGCTGGGCCAAGGTCATTGGGCCCGGAAGAGGTCAAACAGGGTTTGGGCCTGGGGAGGGCAGCCTTGGAGGTGGCTGGGGCTTGGGGCCAGGCCGTCTGCGGTCAGGTGAGGATGGGCGATCAGGCGCCTGCGGGCAATCGAGAGCTTCCTGGGGAGAGGGGGTTTTTTGGTCCCGAAGCCCGGCGCACAAGGGTCTAGGAGGTTAGCTCCGGGCCGGTGGGAAGGCTCGGCGGGGTTAGCGCGCTCAGGGCACTCCATGCTGCCGGGACTTCCTGTCTTGCTCTAAGTGACCCTCCCCTGGGACCGTGCCTCCGGCGGGCGCACTGCGACGACCGCCTTTGCACCCAACAAGGCTGAGCCCGCCCAGGAGCGCCCCGAATAACCTCTTCGGGCATGACGCTCGGCAGCCCCCGCCGGAGGCGAGCGGCCCGGAAACCTTGCGCCTGCGCAGAGAGCGCGCGCGGCCGCGGAGCGGGCGGGGCGGGGCCGGCGTTGCGCACGCCGGGGCGGGAGGGACGGGGCCATTGCAGGTTAAGCACCTCTGATAGGCTGAGTCGGGAGGGGGCGGTGAAAGCGGAGTTCCTGGGCGGGGCCTCGAGACCGGTTTGGAATTTTTGGCGCGAGCCGGCTCCGCGCGCGTTCACGGGCAGTTCCCCTCCGGAGGGTCCTCCTTCTCCGGTGGCTGGAGCGGCCGACGGCTGACCCCGGCCCACCTCGCCGCCCTGAAGGTGCCAACGGTTCCGCCCGGCCCGGAATCCGGCTCCGCCCACCCGCTCAGGTGAGCTGAGACCCTGCCCAGAGGGCCCCCGCCCGAGCCCCTCCCCGGGCCCTCCTCGCCCCCGGCCCGGCCGTCCGGCCGAGTTAGGGCTCTCTGGCTGACCCCTCACCTGGGAGCCAAACCCCCTCCCCAAGGAAAGCTTCGCCCACCAGCTATCCAGGTGCGCTCTCCCCCTCCCCGCATGACAGTCGCTCTCCCTTGACAACTTGTCTCCTGTCCTCCAGGGTCCCCCCCGTCCCCCGCCCGCGGTGACTCAGCCGTGGCCCTGCCCAAGAGGAACTCACAGTCTAGCGCGGCAGACCGAGGCCAGCAGCTATGCGAGGTCCAGTGAGTGGGTGAGGATCCCCGGAAGCCGCGGACGTCACCCCAACTCGGCCTGGGCTCAGGACCACCCTGGAATCCTTCACCCAGGAGCTTCTGCGACTTCTCCCGTCCCCACCCCTGCCCCGGGGCCGGGCTGGCTGGGCCATGGTGCTAGAAGGTAAGTGATAACTGGGTGGTGGTGGCCCGAGAACTGATTTAAGGTGTAGGCGCCCCAGTGGGATTCTCAGAGATATCCCAGCTGGCCCTGGAGGCTGTAATTCTAACCGCTGCCCAAGGGTGTCCAGCGATCCCCACCTCTCACTGTGAAAAACCCTGGGATAGATTCCTGAGGCGGACGATCTTGTCCTCAGAGGTGTATGGGGTGTGTGGGGTGGTGGATGTGTGGGTCCATGTGTATGGGGGGCAGGGGCGGGAGGAGCCCTTCCTGTGGCTTCCCCAGGCCTGGCCTGCCCTCCCTGTTACAGAAGCCTACTTGCCCCCTGCTGGGTACCGGCCTCCTGGGTTACATTGTGGCCTGGCCAAATGGGATGACTGTGAATGTTCTTGTTTTGTTATTACATTGTAGCAACTTTAACAGCGGGGCTGCTCCAATACGGAAGGAACAGGCAGCTCCATGGGGGCCCACTGAACTTGGGGTGTTCTTACAGTTGGGCCCAGGGCTTTTTCTTTTAACAATGTTGTTCCTGGCTGCCATCAAGTCTGTCCCTGACTCCTAGGAACCTGGAGCGACAGAGTAGAATTATCTCTATAGGGTTTCCTTGGTCGCCACTTCTGTCATCATTAGGGAAGCCTGTCCAACCTCTTAGGTTTGCTGCTAGGCGCTTAACCCTCAGTGCTACCGGAGCACGGCATTTGGAAAGGCTAAAGTACAGGGGGAGCTTCAGAGTTCGTGGAAAACCAAAAGGAAAACAATCAGTGAACTTCTCAACTTTTTAAAAAAATCATTTTATTGGGGGCTCATACAACTCATCACAATCCACCCATCCATCCATCGTGTCAAGCACATTTGTACATTTGTTGCCCTCATCGTTCTCAAAACATTTGTTTTCTACTTGAGTCCTTGGTATCAGCTCATTTTTTTCCCTCCCTCACAAACCCTTGATAATTTATAAATTATTATTTTGTTTTCATGTCTTACACTGTCCAACATCTCCCTTCACCCACTTTTCTATTGTCCATCCCCCAGGGTGGGGTTATATGTAGATCCTTGTGATCAGTTCCCCCTTTCTACCCCACCTTCCTTCTACCCTCCTGGTATCTCCACTCTCACCACAGGTCCTGAGGGGTTTATCTGTCCTGGATTCCCTGTGTTTCCAGTTCTTATCTGTACCAGTGTACATCCTCTGGTCTAGCCAGATTTGTAAGGTAGAATTGGGATCATGATAGTGGGGGGAAGGAAGCATTAAAGAACTAGAGGAAAGCTGTATGTTTCATCATTGCTACACTGCACCCTGCCTGGCTCATCTCCTCCCCAGACCCTTCTATAAGGGGATGTCCAGTTGCCTACAGATGGGGCTTTGGTTCCCACTGAATACTGCCCCTCATTCTCAATGATAAGATTTTTTTTTGTTCTTTGATACCTGATCCCATCGACACCTTGTGATCACACAGGGTAGTGTGCTTCTTCATGTGGGCTTTGTTGCTTCTGAGCTAGATGGCCTCTTGTTTACCTTCAAGCCTTTAAGACCCCAGACACCAAATCTTTTGACAGCCAGGCACCATCAGCTTTCTTCACCACATTTTCTTATGCACCTGCTTTGTCTTCAGCAATCGTGTTGAGAAGGTGAGCATCATGGAATGCTGAACTTCTCATGTTTGAAGTTCCCTCATATTGACCAGGGCCGGCCAGCAGGAGTCCTGGTGGCACAGTGGGTTAAGTGTCTAGCTGGAAACCTTGAGAGCCCAGTGGGTTAAACCTATCAGCTGCTCCTTGGGAGAAAAAAGATGGAACTCTGTCTCCACCTAGTGAAGATGCGTGGGCTAGGAAACCCTTAGGAGCACTTCTACCCTGTTTTATGAATCACTACGCTGTTGCTAAGAGATAAAATTATGATGCTGAGTTTAGAGTATCCTGAGATCAGAACTCCAGACCTACAGAACTATGGGGCCAAGTGTATTTTGGAATTCAGAATATCTCAGATAATGGGTCATATGGTATATATCACATAGACCAACTTCTGTGGGGGTGGGCTAGTACCCCAAAACCAATTACATGCATATTTTGGCCATGAAATGCACAGATATTCACACTGAGATGAAAAAACAGATGAGTCTCGCATGTGGCTCTCCAGTTATCCCAGTGCCATCTATTGAAATGGCCTGGCCATCCTTGTTGAAAAGTCAATTGGCTGAGAATGTGAGGGACTGCTTTCTGGACTTTTGGTTCTTCTTCACTGTGTTGCATGTGTATCTTTGTGCCAGCAGCACACTTGTCTTGGTCACTGTTGCTTTGTTACAAGCTTTGAAATTGGTGTGTGTGTCCCCTCCAACTTTGCTCCTCTCTTTCTAGATCGTTTGGACTGTTCTAGGTCCCTTGGGCTTTTTGTGAAGTTTAGGATCTTTTTAACTCCTGAAAATCTGTAGGTCCAGGTGGACGGACAACACTGTCCTCTCAGCTCAGTGTGTCTTCTGATCCATGAACATGGGATACCTTCCCATTTATTTAGGCCTGCTTTACTTAAAGAAGCCGAGAGGAGAAAGGACAGTGAGGGTGTGCTTACAGAGTTTGTCACCCTCTGATGTAACCTTTCTGGTTCTCTTTATCACTTATGTGGATCCGAGGGACCATCCAGGGCCATTTACTTAGCTCTCCTCTGCTCTCACACACCTCCCTTTACTGTTTGCAAACCTACTACATTGCTGTAAAAGCCCCACGTACTACTTTACAGACCTATTATTTTACACAAATGTTTTCTAAGTCAATAGAGGGTCCTGGGAGAAAGACTGGGCTTTCTACTCCCATAAAGAGTTACAGCCTTGGAAACCCACAGGGGCAGTTCTACCCATCCCAGAGTTGGAACTGACTTAATGGCAATGAGTTTTTGTTTTTTCCCCCAAATCACAAGAAATACACATATCCTCTTTCACCTTTGCTACAGCTCCTTGCCGGTTTTTCCTTGCGCCCCACTCCTTTGGGCTATGTCGTCCTACTGTTTTCTGGCCCCCACGATTGATGAGGAAGAGTCAGCCATTGAACTTGTGGGGAGGCGGCTCTCCCAAGTGACCAGCCTTTTTGCTCTTGCTACTTTCAAGATTGTCTCCTTGTTTTAAGTGGTCAGCACCCTTACTGTGGTGAGCCTACCCGTGGCTCTTGTTTTCACTGGGCCTGGAGTTTGTGAGCTGCTTGGATGTGTTACTGTGGCTATTTGCCCTGGAGCCCATGCCAGCTCATGACCACCCTTGTGTGCAGAGTGGAACTGCTCCCCAGGGTGCTCAAGGCTCTGACCTTTTGGAAGGAGATCACCAGGCCTTCCTCCCATGGGTTTTAACTCATCAACCTTACAGTTAGTATATCCCAAGGCTTAGCCAGTTGTACCATCCAGTAACAGGCTGGATGATTTGGGGAGTGAAGAGGTGTGTGTGTGTGTGTGTGTGTGTGTGTGTGTGTGTGTGTGTGTGTGTACACGCCATCCTGGGCAAGTGCACCAGGTTCCCTGGATGATTTGGGGAGTGAAGAGGTGTGTGTGTGTGTGTGTGTGTGTGTGTGTGCACGCCATCCTGGGCAAGTGCACCAGGTTCCCTGGATGAGAGGGTTTTTTCAGACCAGGTCCTCCTGGGCTACTTCTGTACCTGCTCAGACCCAGTTGTTGGGCTCCACTCATTACCAACTGGACACAGCTGTTCTTTTCAGCACTCCACGGAGAGGTCCAATTACAGTTGGGCTCCTTTGCGAGGGCAGCTCATCAGGTCAGTGTTTGAGGCTTTTTTTTTTTTTTTAAGGTGAATTAATTAATGTGTTCTTAACATAACAGTTCCGCCAACTTACAGTGCACAGATGCACTTCACTGGGCTGGCCAGTGCTGTGTGGGCTACCGTTTGGGATTTGGAGTTTGTTTGTCCTATGAGTTTAAAAAAAGGGAGTCAGGTTTACAGGCAATCCGAGCGTTGCTTCTTCATAGAAACGATTGGATTGCGGGTCCGAGTTAATATTTCCTGCTGACGAGATTTGACTAAACTTAGGCAGCGGCTCACAGTGGATGAGCAGTTCACCTCTCCACGAGGTGGGGCAGGTCTCACTATCTCGAACGTTTTCATCATGTTTGCAGACACTTCATAGCCTACCAAAAACCACTACCCCAAACCCACTGCCTCCACAAGGAGGGTTTAGACTCAGAGCGACCCTACGATAGGGTTTCCGAGGCTGTCAGTCTGCAGGGCAGACAGCCTCTTCTTTTGCCCATGGAGTGGCTCTGGGTTTGAACCACCGACCTTGCAGTTAGCAGTCCAGCACTTGCTGTGGTGGCCCGGGCTACCATAGACTACCAAACCAAACTCACTGTCATTGAATCAATTCTGACTCAGAGTGACCCGATCGGGTCACACTGCCCCTGTGGGCTTCTGGGGCTATCACTTTTTATGGGAGTAGAAAGTCTCATCTTTCTCCCTCTGAGTGGCTGATGATTTCAAACTGCTGACCTTGCGATTCGCATTGCATTGCGTGACCCACTCCACCACCAGGGTGACCACAGACCACAGTCTCTGGTAAAGGTAACTTCACGCACTGGGGAACCAAAAGACAAGTGTGGGACTCGCTTGCGTTGGACTGGGGACACAGTGGCAGTGTGCCTGAGCTCAGCCTCTGCTCCCAAACCCGGGGCCTTTCTTGAGCACAGGTGTGTATGTACCTGAAGTGCTGCTTTTTCCTGGTCAGTGCTCCCCACAAGACCGCTTGTGCTGGGATATGGTGCTGTTTGCGTGGACACCTTGTCGTGCGTGCGTTCAGCCTCTGCTCTCTGCCCCTTACAGGGCCTCCCACGCCAGCCATGCCCGTGCCAGCGGAGGGCACCCCGCCACCCCTCAGTGGTACCCCGGCCCCAGTTCCTGCCTACTTCCGCCATGCAGAACCTGGCTTCTCCCTCAAGAGGCCCCGTCGGCTCAGTCGGAGCCTCCCACCCCGGCCCCCAGCCAAGGGCAGCCTCCCCATCAGCCGCCTCTTCCCCTCGAGGACACCGGGCTGGCATCAGCCCCGGCCCTGTGGTGTGTCCTTTCGGGGCAAGGCCTCCGAGACCCTGAAGAGCCCCCGCTATGACGCGAGCCGGCCCGAGTCCTTCTTCCAGCAGTGCTTCCAGCAGCTGGGCCACCTGGGCCGAGGCTCCTTCGGGGAGGTCTTCAAGGTGAGTGGGAGGGGCAAGCTGGGCTGCTGTCTCCCTCCCTCCCTGGGGCTGTCTCCTTCCTCCCAGCATCTCCCTGGGACAGATCTCCTGACCCCCTACCCCTCCATCCCCTGGGCGCACACTCTCTCCTTGACCAGAGCCTGTCACACCTCCTCCTCCTCCCTGGAGCCTGCGCTGGGGTTCTTGGCGAGTTCTCAGTGATCCAGCCAGCCCCCTACTGAGCGTGAGTCCCACCCAGCCTACCACCCCACCCTTGAGCTGGCAGGGGCTCGGTCTGCCAGCCTCCTCCCCACTTAAAACTTATTTTCCAGCCGTTTATATTTCCTTTAAGATGTTGATCGGCTTGCCCAAATTCTACATGAATGCAGTGTTGTTGAGAAGTGTACACAACTGACCCACTGAGTCCAGCGAGGCGATGTGGACTCAAAGCACCCCTGGTGGAACTGCCCCTGTGGGTTTCCGAGGCTGTATCTTCACACAAAGCCTCTTCGTGCTCCGCGGAGCGGCCTCGAGTTTCCCTACGCTGGCCTTTCGCTTAGCATCTGTGTGCCCGAACCCCTCCGCCACCAGGGATCCTTTTAACTAAAGCCACTGCTGTAGTTGAGTCAGTTCCAACTCCTGGCGATCCTAGGGGACAGTGAAGAACCACTCCGTGGGGTCATTCCAAGGTGGCAAAACTTGCAGTCACCAATTGCCCCATCTTTCTCCTGGGCTCTGAGGAGAACTTTTAACCCCTGCGCCACCAGCCCTCCCCCCACCCCCTAACACACACACACACACACACACACACACACACACTCAGCCCAGCACTTTCAGCAGCCTCTCTCCGGCCACCGAGCTTTGCAGCAGATGGGGTTGTCCTTGCAGAGGTCTCCCCACTGGTGAACAGAAATGCTTTGTCTTGACGGCAGCCCTGCTCCCACTTCATAGGGTGTCTTCGGGGTCCTGCCTGTGGGTGCTCACGGCCAGTCCCTCTGCTCTTGCCCCCATCCTACAGGCCTGCTGGGGGGTATTGTTGGGTGTCCTGTCGCCGCTACGTTAGGGTCTCTCTAGGGCAGCTGTCACCTCGGCGATCGCTCACTGCCATTGAGCCACTTCTGACTCATAATGACCCTATAGGATGGGTAGCATTGCCCCCATGCGTTTCTGAGACTGTCATTCTTTACGGGTGAAGAACGCCTTCTTTCCACGCCACAGGTGGTTTCAAACTGCCGACCTTGTGGTTAGCAGGCTAGTACGTGTAACTACCACGCTGCACCATGAGATCCATTCTGTTGGGTCCTGTACCACTGCAACCTGCCTCCCGGAGCCCTGTGAAGCAGGGGTTTAAGCATGGCTCTGCTCATTGAGAGGCAGGTAATTGGAGCCCACCAGCTGCCCCGTGAGACAAAGATGAGGCGGTCAGCTTCTGTAAAGACGACAGCCTTGGAAACATACAGGACAGTGCTACTCTGCCCGACAGGGTCGCCGGCAGATGAAACTGACTCCCCCAGACAGACAGTGGTGGTCTCTCTGGCACACCCTTAACCGCACGTGCCCACGCCCTCCTTCCAGGTACGCTCCAAGGAGGATGGCCGGCTGTACGCCATCAAGCGCTCCATGTCGCCATTCCGAGGCCCCAAGGACCGTGCCCGAAAGCTGGCCGAGGTGGGCGGCCACGAGAAGGTGGGGCGGCACCCACGCTGTGTGCATCTGGAGCGCGCCTGGGAGGAGGGCGGCCTGCTGTACCTGCAGACGGAGCTGTGTGGGCCCAGCCTGCAGCAACACTGTGAGGCCCGAGGCGCACGTCTGCCCGAGGCCCAGGTCTGGGCCTACCTGCGCGATACTCTGCTGGCCCTGGCCCACCTGCACGGCCAAGGCCTGGCCCACCTAGACATCAAGCCAGCCAACATCTTCCTGGGGCCCCGGGGCCACTGCAAGCTAGGGGACTTTGGGCTGCTGGTGGAGCTGGGCGAGGCCGGTGGTGACGCCCAGGAGGGGGACCCCCGCTACATGGCCCCTGAGCTGCTACAGGGCTGCTATGGAACAGCGGCCGACATATTCAGGTGAGGGTAGGGCGTGAGGGTGAAGCATGGTCTAAGGTGCCCTCCCAGGGTGGTCAGTAGAGGGAGAGACACCCCCAAGCCAAGAACGCTATGGAGTCCTGTGTCCAGGGCCTGGGAGGGGCTGTCCACCTGAGAGCCTAGGGAGGTTCTCAGTTGGGCCCCACCCTATAGATAACAATACTTTACCAAGAGGGCCCATTGCAGGGAGGGAACTGCCACGACACTCACCTAGGGCCCACAGGTGGCCAGAGAGGTGGCCGGGCTGGTGGCATGCATTGTACATCGTGGCTCTGGGGCCTACTCCCTGCCCGGCCTCCTGACAGCTGCATCTAGTGTTGTTGACAGCAATGGTAGGATCCCTGGGCGTGCAGAGGGTTAAGGCTTGCCTGGTGACTCAAAGGCTGGCCGTTAGCACCCACTTGGCCTGGGAAGCCCTTGGGGCAGTTCGCTTGTCACAGGGCTTGCTGAGTTAGAATCAACCCACTGACCCCCAAGAGCAGCAGCAGCAGTGCTACTAGTTACTGAGGCCTGGTCATGGGCTGGCCTGGTGAGATCCCTCCCCAGGGAGGGGGGAGACACACTGAGATCAATCAGGAACCGTCCCAGAAAGCTGGAAAACTCACCATTACCCCCTCTTCCCTACTTCCCTGGCCTACAGCAGGCTTCCCAGCTCCCTTCCCACCTTCCTCTGGGGCTGGGGTCTGTGTCCCTGGGCCAACCCTGCCCCCCATCCCCTGTCCATGCCCCTTCTCCAGCCTGGGGCTCACCATCCTGGAAGTGGCCTGCCACATGGAGCTGCCTCGCGGCGGGGAGGGCTGGCAGCAGCTGCGCCGGGGCTGCCTGCCCCTCGAGTTCACTGCAGGTGAGTGGGGGCAAGGAGGGGATGCTGCTGCAGGGAGGTTGGCCCCTAGGGGTGTCTGCGACATTCCCTGCTCCATGCCCAGGCCTGTCCTCCGAGCTGCTTGCTGTCCTTACCATCATGTTGGAGCCAGACCCCAGTCTGAGGACCACAGCTGAAGCGCTGCTGGCCCTGCCCATGCTCAGGGAGCCCAGGCCCTGGAGTGCCCTGTGGTGTGTGGCGACTGAGACCCTGAGCCAAGGGTGGGCACTGTGGCAGGTAAGCGGGTGAGCCCTGGGACAGGCTGACCTTCCTTGCCAGGACTCACCCACCACCCTGGCCTTTTCCCCTGCAGGCCCTGCTCACCCTGCTGTGCTGGCTCTGCCACGGGCTGACCCACCCCACCAGATGGCTGCAACCCCCAGGCCCACCGGCCACGCCACCCGGCTCGCCGTCCTGTAGCTTCCCCCTGGACAGCACCCTCTGCAGCACCTGGGGGGACGACAGCTTTGGGTGGGTGAGCTGTAGGGCGGGGGGTGGGGGTGGGCAGGGTAACACAGGTGATGTGGGGTCATGGGCCCCAGTTCGTGTTGCACTGAGCTGCCATGGGGCTTAGCCCACTGCCGAGGCCAGGACAGGTGACTTCATGGCTGGCGCAGCTTCTCACCTAGGGCACCACACCTCGAGCCGACCAGCCACCAGGGTCAAGGTGCGGGGAGGGCTGTGAAGGCCAACTGCGTGCCTGTCGGGGACGGAGGGCACAGTTCTTAGGAGGACTATGTCATTCACCCCTTCCTTATATGGCAATGTCACCCTCACTCCAGGGACACTTTAGGGTGGCTGCGAAGCAGCAGATAAGCTGCACTGACCAAAGGTCAACTTCAAAGCCAGCTCAGCAGAAGGCGTCCTGGAAAGGGAATGAGGTGGCTGCGGAACCTGGGCGGGGTCAAGGGCGCAGAGAGCCTTCAAGCTGCTGCTCCCAGGGATCCATGCGCCTGCTGTCCCTGGCTGAGCTTTGCTGATCTCACTGCCCTGGCCTCCCCACTTTGAGGCCCCACCCCTTGTCACCCTGTCGCTCTCTCCCTCACGCAGGGCCTTGCTCTCGACAGACACCAACCTGGCCAGGACTGCTGGGAGCACCTCCACCCCTAGCAGTAGTCCTCCTGCCCCCCAGAACAGGTATGTGCTGGCAGGAGTCAACCTGGGGCGCCACAGGCCTGCACAGGGGTGCATGGGCATGATTCAGTTTCAGGATGTCATTTCTCTCTCCTCTCCCCCACCTAGGGACTCCCTGGACCTCAGTGACATTGACCCAACTGCTCCTCGTGGATCCTTCCCTGCCTTTGAGCCCCGGAACCTCCTTAGCCTGTTTGAGGACTCCCTGGACCCCACCTGAGCCCTGGGGCCCAGGCTCAGCTTTTAACCTTTTACCCTGCCCCTCCCCAAAGCACCCTTCTATCTGGGTGCCTAATAAAAGGGATTTGAGTCTTGGGAGGACCCTGGCTTGCCTTACTCAGGTGGCAACGCAGCACTTCCTGCCCCTTTTATTGGTGTCTCCCTAAAGGGGAGCCCTGGGCCCGCAGCCTGGAGCTGGGAGAGTCTGGGCATTAGCAGAGCAGGTTTCCTGAGCAGATGCGTCCCTGGTGGGCAGGTAGGCAGCCCTTGGCATACCTGGGCACGGGCCCAGCGCCATGTGCCTTTGCGCTATGCCCTATGCCCACTGCCTGGGAGAGTGAGCGTCTTGATTGGAGAAGGGTAAGTGCTGACTTGGTCCTTGAGTGAAGAGGCCAGTCCTGCTGCCTGCAGCTCCCTACTCTGCCGGCTCTTTGCAGAATGGAGCAGGTCACCGGGAGGGCTGGCATGCAGGAAACAGGCTGTGGTCAGGAAGTAGGCGCCAAGGCTGGGCCAGGGG